ATAATTTGATTGATAGCGTCGAAAAACTAAAAAAAACATTCTGGCTCAGAAAAAAAACCATAACCCCCCCCCCCCCCCCCCCCTTGAAGTTAAATGGTTGCTCCCTTAAACTTGGTTTGCCGGATGGTTGAAGTTAGTTAATTCATGTTTCTTCTAGTAACCTTCATATGAAATATACATCTTTGTTACTTCTTTCACTAAATTTGACATTATATCAATAATATCATGGTAGGTATAGAGTCCTGTGAAAATTGTGTTTTTTCGAGTACATCGGTCCTCTTTTTTTCGAGTGTAGATCAGATTTTTTCAATTGAATTTACATGCGATCAATCGATTTACTGCTATTTCGCGAGTGTAATAATTTTATTCGTGACTGTTCGAAATATTCTGAATGCTATACATGTTTTGAACACAAACGACGCAGAATTTCCTTTTAGTTCACTTACAAGAGAGGGGCTAAAGATACCAGAGGGACATTCAAACTCATAAATCGAAAATAAACTGACAACACCATGGCTAAAAAAGAAAAAGACAAACATACAAACAATAGAACACAAAACACAAAGACTAAGCAACACGAACCCCACTAAAAATGGAGGTGATCTCAGGTGCTCCGGAAGGGGTAAGCAGATACTTCTCCACATGTGGCACCCGTCGTGTTGCTCATGTAAGTACAATCACAGTAACAAGTCTAATTCGGTAGGTCACTATGATAGTATTTTATATTGTCCTCGTTTTTTCGAGAGCAACATTTAAAACGGGCGGGTTTTTCAACAAATGGTCCGAATTTTGAAGAAAATGTGAATAAGAAAAAAGACATTCTTTGTCTTAATTACTGACTTTTTCTAGTTTGTAACTGTAATTTAGCGAAGGACAATATTATATATATTCTTAATAAGTCACAAATACAAATTACTATGTTGATCAAATTTAACCATTTTCAATAGACTATTTTCATATTACCGACTTTTGACTCCGGATTATATAATTTGTCGACTGGTTACCTTGGACATCATGGTACCAAGTCAGGTAAGAGCAAGCTAAAGAAGTAAAACCAAGCTTTCAATCGGTACAATTTTGGGGGGAAATTACCTGCTTAACATTTTTTTTTTCACTACAAAATCATCAGAAAACAGTAAACTTTCCCCTCAAATTACACTGATTATATGTTTGATTTTACTTATTTTGGTTGCTCTTACTTGACCGAGTACCATGATGTTCAAGGTAACCAGTCAACAAATTATATAATCCGGAGTCAAAAGTCGGTAATTTGAAAATAGTCTATTTAATGATGATTTTCTGTTCTGAAAACATTTTACCATAACCCTGCAGTATTACGATATTATTAGAAATCAATGGGTCCTTTTTAAAAACGGTCTTAAGAACAGATTACAGGGGCTCATAATCTTTTTAATTTCATTCAAGCTACCTTTGTTTTTACAGTCAATAATATTTTTTGATTAATATATATTACAGTGACTGACGGGAGCAACAAAAATAAGGAAAAGGAGTAAACAATCAGAAAAATTCAATATAAACCCAAATATTCTAATAAAAAGTCCTCCCCCGCCCAATACACAACATTTGAATTGAATGGAATATGTAATAAAAAAAAATGAAAACAACACTTTATAATTTTATGCTACATGTACTAGTATATGACCAAAAGAATTTGAACATCCCACACAGCCAAACGGATGTCCCACTTTGGCAAGGGTCGGTCGGAAGAGGACTTAAGTGACCATATTTCTCTTCCCCTGTCCTCCTTGGAGGTAAATTATTTTAGAAAGGATTGTTATAAATCATGTCAATACCGAAGTACTGACTACTGAGCTGATGATAAACTAGGGGACTTGTCCAATGTATTTAATAAACAACAAAATAAATAATCTGTAAGCTTCAATACGGTCCTTTCGAAATAATAATAAAAAAGAATAAATGTGTATATAATATGCGTTCACCTCACAAATATAAATTGTCAATTTCTATACTTTTAATTTCTGATGGAAATGAAGCTATGCTGGTGCTTTATTACTGTGTGACCAAGCATAGTATAAGCTTGATCAGACTCCTCTTCACAGTAGGAGGAATTGAACATAGTTCTTGATTTCCATTTCTAGACCGATAAAACATCATTTCTCAGGAAGCAAGAATCTTGCAATCTGATTGGTTAATTACCTGGGTGTAAATAACACCCCACCCTAGTTCACCAGGGGATAAAAAAATATGCCAAAATTTACACAAAACTTTATTAAAAAAAAAATCTTTTAATAAAATTTTCAAAATTTCCACAAATAAAAAATATAAATAGATAATATTTAAAGAATGACTAATATTTTTTCTGTCTGTGAAGAAATAACATCAACAATGTGGTACACACTGAATAACTCGCGTAGCGGGTTATTTAAAAGTGTGCAACACAGTTTTTAGGTTATTTCGAATAGACACAAAAAATATTACAGTCATTGCTAATAACTTAATTTTAAATTCCATTTTTAAGGAGTAAAATTTGAAAAAAACGTTGATGACGTCAGGGTCACATGACAAAATTATGTCTATGAGCTGATAATTCTTATATGATTTGCATATTAGGGAATATGTTGATATGATTGGTTGAGAGGACTTCCGGTAATTGTTTTGACGTTGTTTATTTTTCGATAAATAACGTTGACCGAACTTCTTTTCGTTAAGGAATGACTGTAATATTTTTTCTGTCTATGAAGAAATAACATCAAAAATGTGGTTCACACTGAATAAGTGTGCACCACATTTTTTATGTTATTTCGAATAGACAGAAAAAATATTACAGTCATTTCTTATAATTTAATTCTAAATTCCATTTTAAACTGGAGTAAACCATGAAAAAACGTCGAAGACGTCACGGTCACATGACAAAATTATGTCTATGGGCTGATAAACAAAACAACGTCAGCCAATCAGAAGACGCGTTACATCCAAAATTAAATTATTAACCAATGTAAACAAGATGGCGGCGATAATGACACAATCCGGATCGACGTTAACAAAATTTATTTTCACTTCGCGTTAATCGTTAAATTAAATAATAAACACAACATTCGTTTGAATGGTAATAAGAGTTTTTGTAGTTTATTTTTTTATCAGATTGCAAATTTCATGGAGTATACGTACATATTTTTGCGTTAACCAACAAATATATTCATGCGCCAGGCCTATTCAATGACACAAATATACAATTTACGTGTGATAGAGGTTACGAGTGTGGAAAAATAAATTCCTTATCTCCAATTTTAAAGAATTATAAGGATTAAACGCCTTTTTAAAGGAATTTATTGGTGTATAAACTGTACCAAGTCACTCACAAACATATCATAAAAGTCCTTCGGACTTTTATTTGTTTGTGAGTGAATTGGTTGAGTTTATACACCAATAAATTCCTTTAAAAAGGCGTTTAATCCTATAATAAACAAAACACTTTCAGTCAATCAGAAAATGTGTTATATCCAACTTAAATCATTGGAGAATGCACAGCAACGTCGGTGTTGACAAATGTGTAGTAGAAGTTCGTCATATGATTTTTTTTCAATTTTAGTCCCGGGAATAAAAATAGTTTAACGAACGCTAAACAAGAAATAAACTCGGTATCTTGGTGCAATCAGGAGTGTACGGAATTTTACACTGGTGTTGAAAATGCATACGACCTTCGGCTGCCACTCAGGGTGTAAATATTATCAACACCGGTGTAAACTCTTTATCGCTATTTTACGAAATTTTCCTTTGATCTTACTGACTGATCTTTTTTTTCTCAGCACAGTAGAGTGTCAAACTTATCAACGTCGGTTCAAACATTATGACGTTGCTGATATGTCCGGGTCAAAGATATTAAGGCGGGTCAACGTATTTGACGTCACAAAGCCGTGATATGCAATTTTATTAAGAGCTGAGCAGAGTGATATAGACAGTGGAACGACCGATAAGAAAAATTTTCGCTAGAAACTAAGGGCGTACGTGCCGTTGTCAATGTAAACATTAACGTCGTCATAGGCAAAATAGCGATAAACAGATTATCATTGGTCATTTCAACTCGATTGCTTTTTCACTTTCGCCGTACCGGCTCAAGCGAGAGAATCAATCTCGTTGAGATGACCAACGATAATCTATAATTACAACAAGATAGCTAATATTACCATCAAGATAAATAGTAAATTAAACATTAAGGAGACAATTTCTGTAAAAAAACACATTTTAATACACACTTTACACACTATGTGAACGTACGTCTCTTTCCAACATGTCTGAGATCACATGAAAATTGTTTACATCACGAAATATTTACTGTATGAAATCCATTTCGGTACAATAATATGAAGATTTCTGAATGCAAATGAACAATGACTTTTTATGAAATTTACTCGTTAATACAACATTATCAAACTGGTTTTGCATTGTTTCCTGCTTTGAAAAGTACTTTATTTGAACCTTTTTATTGGTTTTTTTAACGTAAACGCACTGACATATTACATTTTTAGCCATAGGAATTTAGTTTTTTTCACTCGATACACTCGGAAAAAACATGTACTGCTCTCGAAAAAACACGAACATATACAAATGAATTTTCTCTCCAAAATGTCCTTTTCAATACAAAATCAAGAATTTGTGTAAAATTCTGTATATCTTAGTATTTATAGATTCCATGTGCACATTTCCGTTGACATTTGCATTGGTATGTGTATAAAAATGGCTTTAATCTACATTTTGGAATAAAGCATTGTTAATCTAAATTAAACGTTTTTAAAACAAAATAATGTAGTATAGGGTTGATAATATCTTTTTATCAAAAATACTAATTAACCGTCTATGATCTTATATATATAAGGTTCTAGCAAAATTTTTTCACGTTTTACCAGAAAGGAAGTCTGTTTGTCATCATATTCACTCGAAAAAAAAACCCGAATCAAATCATTTGAAAAACCACGAACCCAGTTGAACACTATACCAACCGTGTTAATAATCAGAACAAACTAATTCAGGTATGTTTATTATTTCTGTTTAAAGCTTTAAGGCTCAATTGACAACAAATCTTTTTCTGTTCAATTTCATAACAGCATGTAAATATTTATTAGTTTCTAGTCAGATATGAACACGGCAGAGAAGAATGAGCTAAGACCACCCTCTACAGATTCGCCGGTTGTGCCATGATGAATAACAAGGCGATCTCCCTTTGCTACCTGTACAGGAATGCTAAAGCTCCCCTCATTATAGTTTTCTCCGTATCCTAATACGACGCGCTTGTCGTTCTTCATAAGATAAACATGAAGATGTGTGCGATGATTGGATCTCACTTTGCACGACACTAAGTAGAGTCCAGCTCTTGGGACAGTAAAATACCCTGTACCTGGGTTGTACCCTCCTCCGACGTTCAATTGGACTGAGTCAAATATTAATTTCTGATGTCCTAAATTCATGTATCCACCGTTTTTAAAATAAGCAGTAAAGGCTGGTCTGATCTCTGTAAATATCAAACAATAACATATTTAATAAGATAAAACATAATACACAAATAAACACTATTGGAATACAAGAAATTGGATCTTTCTCAATGGCAGATACAATGTTCTTCAAACTTTAACTTTATATCTTTGTAATATAGATAATTGAACGAAGTATTTTTTTTTATTGTCCATAAACACAAGCTACCGTGCCGTTCGGTGGTATTGTAACGCCATTTTAACGAGAGACTAACATTTTAGGATAGGATATGTAAACAATTTTTTTTTTATTAATGGAACACATTCTTTGAATTGAGGCAATGATTTTTCGGTTGAACTTGCCATCGAAAGCGCTTTCCTCTTACTTTCTATGAGATTTCTTTGTGTAACTCAACAAGGTAATCCATTAATACCACATATTACATTTTTGCTATTAAAATCATTAGAGGCTAAAGATACCAAAGGGGGAGTCTAAAAATCATAAGTCTAAAATAAATTGAAGACGCCATTGCCAAAAAAAAAGAAAAAGAACAAAAGACAAAACAGTATACAAAACACAACATAGAAAACGAAAGACTGACCAACACAAACCCCACCAAAAACCGGGGGTGGTCAGCTATGTGAAAGGTATGTACCCTGGTACCATATGTACTGGATGAGTCAAAAGATTCTAAAGGTTAACCTTTTTTCAATATTTTGCATGATTGATAGCTAGAACATCTAAGGTTTGAAGAGGGACAGAATTTGTTTGAAAATCTAACGCCAATATTTACACAAGTTGTAAAGACAAGTCTTGTTTCCTGGATATATATCCCGAATTGGGTAATCCAAATGTGTTATTTAATTTATTATACTGAATGTTCTGTTATTACTGTCTATTAAATTTCAAATTCAAAGTAATAAATTATGTCGTCTTGTACATAATCATCATCCGTATTTATTAAAGCGCACATTTGAGCAAGCTTCTCCGAGAAAGGTAATAGAGTATTTGCCATGGGATAAAATATAAATAACACATAGCTAAGAGGGTGATAGAGCAGATTGTTACCCCGAGAAAACATTGTCAACTGAGGCGAAGCCAAGGTTGACAATGTCTTTTCGATGGGTAACAATCTGCTCTATCACCCTCTCAGATATGTGTTATTTCATTTATTATACTGAATGTTCTGTTATTACTGTCGATTAAATATCAAATTCAAAGTAATAAACTATGACGTCTTGTACATAACAACCATCCGTATTTAATAAAGCGCACACTTAGAGTATTTGCCATAGGATAGAGTCGTATTTATTAAAGCGCACACTTGATCAAGCGTCTCCATGAAGAGTAATAGAGTAAATTAACACCCTCGTATTAGCCAATCAAAATATGGCATTTTAACGTGAAGTATAATAAAGTAAATTGTCTCCCTCGTATTAACCAATCAAAATCTGGCATTTTGACATGAAGTATAATAATATTGAGTGTCAAGCGATTATTTTTCTTCACAAATAAATGAGATTAAAACACCGGCATTGCTTTACAAATTCAAATATTATATATAATATTGATTCGAAGGCAATGTTTCTCAGAATTGTTATGCCATATTTTATGATCTTACAAACCTGTTCGTGCATTTTTCATTGTTATTCAAAGCAAAATAATTATCTAAGATACCTGGGACGATCTCACTACACAAAAGATCTCTTTTGTTTACTTATTGTACCTCGAACTTATTAACCCGGTGTAGGTCTTTAAGTTGCAGGTTTTTTTTTACTAAAAGTCAATCGGGCATGACTAATAAGACACGCCCTCTTAAAATCGGGGGGTCCAACATAGGATCGGGTAAAAAATTGAGATACCATTATGTACAATTTCGGAGAAATGAAGTGCTTTTGGTTGATTTAATATCTTCGGTCAATAATCAAACGGTATTTGAGTGGAAATACAAAATGTCCGAAACCGGGAAATGCAGGCTGCAAAAGGAATTTATTTTCAAAATAAGTCCATATCTCATTTACTTACAGTGGCCGTTATTGATTGTGAATTCATATCGTTTCGTTTTTGGCATTTGTCTACCGGAGAAAAAAAAGGGGGTAGGGGCTCATAACTTAACTTACGATTTTGATCGTGGTTCAACTTTATTCTATTACGGCATACATTTTACCTCTAGTCAACGCTCCATCTTATTAAAGTGATGCTCAAAAATTGTTATGATTTGCTTAAGTTTGATACCCTTTACATCTCGTCGTAAATATACATGACATATTTGCCACTGGATATCAAGTGAGCAATTTATTAATCAGCACCATTTAGTGATGTACAATCATTAGTCTTCAGTTGATAGTTATCTCAGGCATTTTACCACCATTTATAAATTTAATTTTCAAGCGTTAATTTCAGCATTTCTTTCCTTATTTTTCTCTTTGCATTTAATCTTTTTGAACATTAAATAACGTAGTCCACATTAGGGGTTACATTATATCATATCCAATCATACTAGGAGAAGGGGAAAAGAACAGAAAAAAAAATCTGCATTGAGTGGCAATAAATCATAAGCGTACAACGACGGCAGTCACTAAAATGAACCGATCTAGTTTAAATCTGAGGGACAAAATTTGCTGTTTCAATTTTTTGTTTTATTATATCTGGTATAATAGTTGTTATAAAAGCAGCCGAACACCCAAACTGACACACCCCTTTAGCAAGGGTATACTGTCGGACTGGAGAGATCCAGAGATGTCAATATTTCTATACCCAAGTCAAGCCTTTGGATTTGAATAAAATGAGATAGAGGTATACATTAATGTGGCAGCTACCCAACGACACAGAAAAATCAAAATACTAAGAGTCAACTTAGTCTTTTGTTACAGAAAGATGCGTATACAGAATAAGCTCAAAACTGTTAATTTAACAATATCTATCACAACAGGGACATTTGATTTAATATTATTTACCGTTAAAGATATCCTGACAAGCACACGTGTTTGATTGAAACATGTACAAGAATTACGGACATTTCAAGGCGAGATTACTCGTGTTACTTTTCTATTCTGGTTCCCATCTTGTTCTCATCGTCTGGTGACCAGTAGACAAGAATAGATAACTCCCCTAAACGAACACCCCGCCAATAGATGTCATGCTGCGTTCACACGTAATTCGAATTCGATTCGCATTAACTAATTCGAATTAGTTTAATTCGCATTCGAATCGTTTTACGTCCAAACGTTAATTTTAATTCGAATTGCAATACGCGTCAAATTTGCCTTGCTGTCCGAACGACGTTAACTTTTAATTCGTATCAACAAAAACGGATTTCTAATGCGAATTGGTTAATGCGAATTAGCCAATTCGAATCAATTCGAATTAAAAAGGAAGAGTGTGTGAACGCGATAAGCGAATTCGATTCGCATTCGATTCGAATTCAATTCGAATTAAATGTACGTGTGAACTAGGCATCACTTTAACGTTATGCCTATGGGGTAATTTATGATATTAGCAGTTATACGATAATTCCGAACGCAGTTGGATTTAAGAAAGAAACCCCGCGTACACTATACACAGATGAATGATGAAGAAATTGCCGATAGAAAAGAAATAATAAAAAAAAGAAAAGTTTTGCATGCCCTATGATGTAGAAAGAATATTTTCTGTTAACGATGGTTCAAAAGAGATACGTTTACATGTTATTATATTTCCTATATTTATAATATATGTATATCTCGTGATCAATACTTTTTTTTATTTTTTTTCTTAATCTAGTAAATTTTCTTATTGTATGAAATTTGTAGCCCTGTTTATACTACACACGACCTTTTCGGAAGCTTTAAGCAGAGACATATATACACATACCGTTGAACATCACCTGCCATTTTTTTTTTAAATTTCGATCGGTGGAAATTAAAGGAGGTGTAATATAAACCAGTAGAAGAAAAAAACTTCACTGTATAGAATAACGGTAAAATAAATGATGATAATGAATGACGTCAAGTGGAATATTATACAATTACTGTCTTTTGATGAGGTAAATATGTGGTTTTATTGACTTTTGAAAAACTGATATTCACTGAGGCCAACGGCCGAAGAGAATGTCAATAGGTTTTTCAAAAGTCAATTAAACCACATATTTACCGAAACAAAAGACAGTAATTGTTTTATTCCATGTTTCGAAAGAGAAAAATATGTATTTAATAACAGTTATTTATTAAAACCAATTGTACGTCAAACATTTTACCGTTATTATACACGTAAAAGCACGCGGCGTTTTCCGCGGTGAATACACTTTTTCAGCAGTTGAATATGCTTTTTTATTCAAAATCCAATTCATATAGAAAACCCTACAAAAATTCTATCAATATGGAATAATAAATGAATATTCAGGACAATTACATGTAAATATAATATGAGTATTAACCCTGCTTTGTACTAGATCGACACGCTGAGCCAGTTTTTTTTTACGCGTAAGTTCACATGAAGATATCATTTCGCAGGAAGAATAGTCACCCTACCCGGAAACATTTCTGGCTCCGAACCGACAAGTCTTTTCTCTTACTTTCAAATACCGATAGTTTAACTTTAGCGTTGATACAGCAAATACATGTACCATTGTTTACGTCGAGATTCGAATAACGACCTCCCGATCTCGAGGAGAACACACACACGAAACAAACAAGGAGAGCGATAGTACAGAATATAATACCAAAAACTAATGTACAGAGATAAATAAAATACAGTTTCACAAAAATTTCATAGTTACTAAAGTGGTGCTAAAAGTATCAAACCGAAATTAGAAATGTTAAATTATTTTAGAAACTACACGTAAATATGGATGGCCGACTTCTGAATAGATTTCATGGATCAACGCTCTCTGCAAATTCACTATTTTTGCACCAATTATTTAAGGGGTTCGGATGTGGCCAGCTGCTGCAAGGCTAATTTCTGTCTTTATTCAATATATCCTCAGTTATTCCAATTTTCACGTCCTACCTCAATGTCTACATCCTATTGCAAGATCTACCTATTGTATTTAAAATTCATGTG